TGGACTGGCTGTTCAGAATATTCTATGGTACTATCAAGCCAGCCAGCTCAAAGCAGTAGTAAATTGGAGGTGCTCTAGCCCAGCAAAACACTGGGTCTATATTGAACAAGAAAATTGTGGCAGTGTAAACACTGCTGGGCTATTATGAATTAATAAAGAATCAAATCTGCCAGAAATTTCCACACATCTCTTAGCAAAGGCTACTCTGTGGGTTTGGGATAGAACTAGAGATAAGATCAGTTCTTTTTCCTCATCAATGACACCAGTTGCAAATAATCCAGATCTTAACTCAAATCGCAAACCAGGGAGCTTCAAAGATTGGGTGAGCCTTGGAATAAACACGGTTGGTAAGCTATTCAGTAAAGAAACTTTTCTATCTTATTTAGAGATTAAAGATATCTTTAACTGGCCTGCTCTTCCCTGATACCAGTACTTTCAAGTCAGACACAGTTTATCAGCTTTCCAGAAAAACTGTTTAAAGCTAACTTTAATAGAAACAAAGGCATCTAGTCAATTAGGGAACAAAAAATTGTAACTAATTTATTTCAATCTGTGCAGACAGATTTCCTAACAGAAAAGTGTCCCTATATGACATGCTTTGAAAATGATGTGGATAGACCAATCATGCCAAAGAAATGGGGTTTGATCTGGAAAAGACAACCAGCAACCTCAGTCTGCAGCACAATAAAAGAAAATGTATTTAAGATACTGTTTCAGTGCTACTTCACACCAGCCAGGTTCAAAAATATAAATAGGCTGAACGAACTGGAATAAATGTTGGAGAAATTGTGGCGAGAATGGAGATTTTATGCATATATGATGGACATGTCCAGTCACTTGAGAGTGTTGGGATACAGTTGGTAACTAAATATCACAACTTCTTGGATATTTATTGCCAAACGATCCTTTGATAATGCTCCTTGGGCTTCCTAATGGCAATGGTCTCTCACAAGGACATGAAGAATTAATCGCTCATCTGCTAGTAACTGCTCAACTGTGGGTAGCCTTTTATGGGAAAAATAAAAATAGCTCAACCATTGCAGAATGGTTCAAAAAATAGGAGGTTGTGGTTATGGAAAAATTCACACCAATTATGTACCCAGTAAAATAAGCAGAAGACAGATACATATATATTTGGTTACCTTTTCGTTAGTACTCAGATTGCATTCACCTGCGGAAAAAAATCCAGTACACCAATCCAGTTTTTTTTGGATCTTAACATTTGATAGACATACCTGGTCTGTTAAATGTGTGTATAAAGAGTTCACTCAATTTAATAATATCACTAGAAATGTCATAGGTATTGTAATGATACTTACTCTGTACTATGGTAATAGTAAGTAGAAAGATCCGATGACTGTATTCCTGTATGTCTCTTTAAACAAAAGTGAAGTCTTGTAATGATTTGTTTCTGATATGTACTTGGCAAGGATTTGTAAACTGGTCAAAACTTCCTAAATACATAGTTTAAAAAAACAACTTAGCAGCAAACTTAGTGCTTAATATTATTTTTTGTATTTAATTTAATAATGTTAGATTATAGTAAGTTTAAATCTTTCTATAGGATGTCATAACTTTAAGTAGGTTTATTTTTAAAAAGCACCTGTATTTAAATAAAAAAATCAATTTAAATTTTAAAAAATTCCTGTTGATAAAAATCCATTATTTTAAAGCATCTTGCCTGTCTGTCGTCCATCTAGCTATGGATTTAGGATTTATCATTAAGTATTACATCTATGAAAATCAGTTGGACAGTGTGTACTGTATGAATAAATCCTATTACTCTGTGTTAGGTCCCCCAATTAGTAGACAGAGGAATAGGCTAGGATAAGCAATGGTTATCATTTCAGCAATATTTCCGGATGGCCATGCAGGAAGGCAATCTTTAGAAAAAGATCTGGGCTTTACTATTGAAAAAATGCTTTCCTGGAGACAGATACATGGACCTTTTAGGCAGACCATTGAGTCTCCAAAGCAGCCTGCCATGAATTGCAGGAGAAGTTAAAATTAGAAGGGGTAGAGACTCTCTGACATAAAAGCTTTCTGCTACCAACCTGTAACCTTTATGATCAGAACATCCAGTTAAATTCAAGCAAGATTCTGTATAGTCCTTGTCTGTACAAGAATACATGCTTTATTTTATTTTTCTCGGACCTTTCTTAAATTAACACTTGTTCAAATGCTGTGCCTGTAATTAGGATTTGTCTGTTGCTTTGCGGCTTAGATCAGCAGCATGTATATTCTTGCCTGGGCAGGTAGGGCCCTCTATGCTAGAGAGGGGAGGAAAGGAAAACAGGTGGGGTTAATCAGCCAAAAAGCACCTAAAAGTCTGAGAAGTGACTTGTGAATAGCTGTGGTCAGTACCCATGTAGGTGAGAGAGTCAGTAGTCAGGGGTTCCTGCTGTGAAATTGAACTCTCACCTTTGGATGCTGGGGCATGGTGATCCATGGCTATATCATCTGAAAAAAGGGAACTCTATAAATAAGCTAAAATAGTACTGCAGACTTTCCATTCATTACTCAGTGAAAATGGATAATGTACCGAATCATTATGCTCAGTCTTTTGATATGAGTAGAGGTAGGAGTTAAATATCAAATCTCATAGCTTGTCAGGGACTTTCTTGGCATGTAAAATAGGTGGTTGAGGATTGGGTTACCTTTAATATAGATATAGCATTACATAAGTAGTCCCATCATGTGTTTTTAATTTAATTGGAAATATCAGTGATTTTGGTTCTAGTGGTAGTCTGCAATAACTACTGTAGTTCATGCTTGAATTCTGTCTTCCATTTAAATCCTTCCCACTCCTTTTTCACTTGATCATAACTTTCTCACATAGGTACCTTAGAATTTATTAATAATAATAATAATATTATTAGAAAGTTGAGGTAGAATTAGACTATTTGCATTACAGAAGATTGTTATCCAACTTTGTATGCTTAAGTAATTTTACTTCACTATTATGATAAACCTATTATTTCTGTGTTTTGATAGCACCTAAAAATCCCTCTAAAAATCAGCCTAATTGTCCAAGGCATGTAACAAACGGTCTCCGCCCCAGAGTACTCACAATGTACAAAAAAGACAGGATGCAACATGTGCTCCTCAAACTAGAAGCATCACACTGAGATTTTGTAGTCTGGAATGAGACTTAAACTGTTCAAGTTTAAAGAGAATATGTTAATGTAAACTTTGATCTAAAATCTGCAATTTTGCATGTTTTATTTTTTCTATTTTTTATGAACATGTTTAAGTTTTTTTCCATTTCAAGTTGAAGAAATTAAATGTAAAATCTAGCATGAGTTCAATCTTCAGATTGAAAATTTAGTACTCAGTCAAGGGGCCAGATTTTTAAAGGTAATTAGGTGATTTTGAGTGTCTACAAAGTACCTATTTGCATTTTTAGGCTCCTAAATATCTTTAGAAATATGTTCTAAGGTTTCTACTGCAACTTTAACTTGGTTGTGTTGCACATAAGTAGTATTCTAGTCCAGTTGTCCTTGTTGAAAGTAAACCATAACATACTCTTCGTTAGTGCACCTTTAAGGCTGAGATCAACTTAATTCTAATTATAAGGACACCTTGGGTTGATGCAATGAAGTGATGAAATAAACACTATATCTAATCATCATTTCATTTTTTTTGTAAATGATATGTGAGGGAATTAGACTTAATTGTGGCTTGTGGAGATATTAATATGAGAACTATATATTGACTAAAGTTTGAGGTTATCCTATAATTTCAAATAGAAATGCATTTTGACAGTAGAGCTGGGGTGATCTAAATCAGGGGTTCTCAACCTTTTTCTTTCTGAGGCCCCAAAACATGCTATAAAAACTCCACGGCCCACCTGTGCCACAATAGCTGGTTTCCTGCATATAAAAGCCAGGGCCGGCATTGGGGATAGCAAGCAGGGCAATTGCTCGGGGCCCCGTGCCACAGGGGACACGGTGAAGCTAAGTTGCTCAGGCTTCTGCTTCAGCCCCCGATGGCAGAGCTCAGGGCCCCAGGCTTCAGCCCCATGCAGTGGGACCTCAGCTTTCTGCCCTGGACACCAGCAAGTCTAATACTCGTCCTGCTGAACCCTGGCGGACCCTCCGAAACCTGCTCGTGGCCCCCCAGGAGACCCCAGATGCCTGGTTGAGAACCACTGATCTAAGTTAGCTTTGGAATTGCTATATGACTCATTAAATCTGGTGTCCACAGCGTAACATTGTAGATAGTCATTTAATACAGCACTAATGCCCGGGCTTTTACTCTATTTTTATGGAATGTATTTGCAGGAATAACAGCTTGAACAGTTCTGAAAGTTTCTAGCTTTTATTTAAATTCAGTTCTCTGTAACAGTTCAGAATTTCAGCTTCAAAATGTTTCCACGCCCTGCCGTATTTACTGAAAAGAGCCCAGTGTAAATCAGAATCTTAAAAATATTTGTCAGAAGCTATAGTTTTCCATCTATCTAAGCAGGTAAAATACAATTGTATTAAAAACTAAAACATGCAGTATTTGAACTGAAGCTAAATTATATTTGATTATCTAATCCCATTCCCACTTTCCCCATTTTTATGGATATCAAGAACATCCAGGATTGTTAGACATTTTAAAGAGTGTTTTGGAAGGGAGATGTATCCTCATGCTTCAGGACATGAGCCATGCTCTAACTATTAGGGGTGAGGGAGAAAGTCTGAGGGCACGTTATCCCATAATTGCCTACTGCAAGGTTTACTACACATTGCTCAGAAGCATCTGGTACTGGTCACTGTTGGAGACAGGATTCTAAATGAGTAAGACCACTAGTATTGTCAGCATAGTAATTCCTCTCACTCCAAACTGAAAGCTAGATCCCTGAATATGGTATTTAAATATATGGTTGGCTTCATTTGCAGATAGTTGATTATACAACTTGTGGATAAGGTCCTGTAAAAAATGAGTGTGTAATTTAAATATTTTTATGGGGACTTGAGATTCTAATTACATCTAAATTTTTCTTTTCCATACAGTTAACAAATATTTAAGCTCTGAAAATCCACTATTCTTTGAACTACGTGCCAGATACCTTATTGCCTGCGAACGCATCCCAGAGGCAATGGCTTTTATCAAATCTTGCATAAATCATCCAGAAATCAGTAAAGATTTGTATTTCCATCAAGCTTTTTTCACCTGTCTTTATATGTCTCCAGTAGAAGATCAGCTATTCCAGGAGGTACTGTGTCAGTGTACATTTTTATGCCTCTAGCAATATATTATACTCTTCTTTTGTATAGTCATCAAGAGAAACATATGAAACTTTTTATTCATACTACAGCCAAATGTCAGAACAGCAGGTGACCTGATTGGTATCCATTTGAATTTATTATCTGAGGGCTGAAGTCTGAACATACACCTAGTGACTTCAGGCAAATGTAAATGACCAATGAAGGCACAATTTTCCCCAGATATTCTCTAAATAACAGATTGAGAGACATTTTGTAACAAAGTCGAATAGTTGTTTTAAAACAACGGGGCTATAGCAGAAGACGTTAATTTTAGATTACTTTCAGTTTAATTCTGCCTTGTCAAATTTCTTAAACTTCTAAAAAAGTGTTTTCTTTTCGTTGTGCTGATATGCGAAATGGCACTACATAGTTTCTCCTTTTAGTATTGATCGTACATGTTACAAACGAGTGCCTTTTGTGTCTAATTTGTCAAAATCAAGATAAAACTTTCAGGTGGGCTTCCAGAATATATGCAAAACAATGCCTAGAAAGAATAGGTTTTATATGTACTAACCCTTAAATCCCATTGAAAACTTTATCCTAAATATCTGATAAAATCTAACAGGTAAACTTGTCTTAGGTTTCAGAGGGTAGCCGTGTTAGTCTGTATCAGCAAAAACAGCGAGGAGTCCTTGTGGCACCTTAGAGACTAACAAATTTATTTGGGCATAAGACAACTTGTCTTAGATGATTATCTGCAGAAAAACACAAAACCTTTGCCAAAGAATCCTTGTCAGTAGCAATTCCCGGAAATATCAATGACTACTTTAGCATAGCAAGGTGTGATCAACTTTTTTCCCCCGCATTAGCAAACTTATCTAAACTGATCTTATTTTAATTGCATAGCACTTATTGAGGACTGATTGCAAGAGTGGAATTGAGATCATCTGCAACACTGAAAAAGAAGGGAAGACTACCTTAGCCTTACAGCTGTGTGAATCGTTCCTGGTCCCACAGCTCCAAAATGGGGACATGTATTGTATCTGGTAAATACTTTATTTCTGGTGAAGGGGTTTAGAAGATAAATGCTTATTGCCAAGATAGAAGTGTGTTAACTTTAAGATGCAGCTAAACTTCAAAACTGCAGTTGTAACTGTTTTGACTTTTCCAGTATGCATGTTATGCATATCTAGCCTGTCTATGTAGTTGTACATGGGAGGCAGCCGTTCTGTACCCCTAATCGTTTTCATTGTAGTGGGTGCATGCTACATTCATTATACTTGATGATAGCTTCAAAGTAGCAGCAGAAGGGTGAGTGTCTAAACTAGAGACTTGCACTGCTGTCAATATCAGTAAATATAACCTACTTACAAATTTTCTGGCACCACTAGTATTTTGCTATCCAGCTTTTTAAATAGTCACACCAACATTATTGTAATTTACCTACAGCATCCCATGGATGTATGCTTTAATATCTAACAGAGGATCTGTAATCTTCTCTGAAAATCTGCTGTTTGAGAGAATCCTTTTTTGTTAATTCCAATTTAATTTATTCTCTTAGGCTATTGTGTTACAAATCCAAAGAACCTGCAGAATCACAAAGTTAAATGTATCCATTTAGATAAGATTCACCTAATTAAAATAAATCTCCATGCATTCAGAGAAAAGATAGGGCTTGGGATTTTTTTGAAAACATGTATTCTCTAGAATACATCAGAACAAGTATTGCTCTATCCTCTGAGGTCTGAAAGGTGTCTATCAGAGAATAATCTGTTTTACTTTTGAAATTTCTTCTTAAACCAGGTAAAATTTGACAGACTTTTATTAAAAAGTACACTTAGTTTATCTGTGTCTAACATGTTGTTGAAGCAAGAAGATTCAGTTAGTTTTGCTGAATCCTACTCATCTGCTTTGTGACGGATCAAGAGAGGGTTTAAAATCAGATTGAAAAACGGAAAATAAGTCTTCCAGGATCCTCAGATCCCAGTATTTGTCTGGTTTATCAAGGGAGATGAGAAAGACAAGAGAAGGTTTTGCATTTTAAAGAGGAGTTCACAAAGATTGTCTAATCTTTATTTTTTCTGGCTAAAGTTTGTATTATATCTCATATGTACGAGTTACTTATGATGATGAAGCAAAAAAGTTGAATGAATTCTGAACCTGAAATTATTTTTTGGCATTCATACAAAGATACAAATGCAGATTTTTACCAAGAATTCATGATTACAAATGAATAATTTTTGTCTACACTTTGGGTTTCAGACCTGTTTTTAACCATATGTTTCCTTTACCTTAAGTTTTTTAAATGTTTTATACAATTGATCTTTGGGTTAGACACTGTACATAGTCCGTTGTAAAAACTATAACCAAAGGTTTCCTCATCCTCACGTTCACGTCTGCATTCAGGGTCAGAGTTGTGAAATTCCAGTAAAGGTGCTTCATGCTTTATCACTTGTCTTCAGAATTGTAACACTTTTATCATTTTCTAAAGGTTCTGAGGCAAATAATTGTGTCCACAGCCGGAATAATTACTGTGCTGTTTATAAAATGCTTAGCTGTCTCACCTGCACACACTGCAGAATAACTCTTCAGTCCTCAAAAGGTTAAGTCATCACGGGCAACATTTGTGAAGACATCTGAGAATCACGGTGCCATTATTAGAGGGCTGGAGACTATAAAGTTCAAGCTAAAGTACCCCAAGTCTCAGCTTTTCTCTGAGGCCACTGGAATGCCTAAGCTTGTGTCATGTGTAGGAAGAAACCATCTTGCTCCCAGTCGGGATCCAGGGCACTATGGATCTAGCAGAGAGGATTTGCCAGGGCCAACAAGTATCTGCAAGGATAATAATACTGACGTTGGGCTGATGGCCACATATATTGTCAGTATCTGTGGCACACCTCCACCTGAAGCAAGCTTGGTCTATCCTGAGATCTCTTAATGTGAACCACTCACTCACATACCCCCTCAAAGAAAGATGGTCTCTGAGCCACTCAGTCTCTAGGCTGCCATCAGTTTAATCTGCAGTTAAGAAGGAACAAAGTCTGCTGATCCAAATTGTAGTTACTGCAGATGCATCCTGCCTGAAATAACACCCACATATAGGTGTTTTACACAAAGCTGCACTTGGTCTCTGAAGGAACAACTGCACATAAATGTTTTGGAGGAGAGGGCAGTCCTTGACACACTAGAGGACTAAGTACCTTCAGAGCCCAAGAACATAAGACCAGCCCTACTGGGTCAGACCAAAGGTCCATCTAGCACAGTATCCTGTCTTCCGACAGTGGCCAATGCCAGGTGCCCCAGAGGGAATGAACAGTACAGGTAATCATGAAGTGATCCATCCCTGTCATCCATTCCCAGCTTCTGACAAAAAGAGGCTAGGGAAACCATCCCTGCCCATCCTGGCTAATAGCTATTGACGGAACTATTCTCCATAAATTTATCTACTTCTCTTTTTAACCCTGTAATAGTTTGGTATTCACAACATCCTCTGGCAAGGAGTTCCCCAAGTTGATTGTGTGTTGTCTGGAAAAAAATACTTTGTTTTAGACCTGTTGTCTATTATTTTCATTTGGTGGCCCCTAGTTCTTGCGTTATGAGAAGGAGTAAATAACACTTTCTTATTTACTTTCTCCACACTACTCATGATTTTATAGACCTCTATCATATCTCCTGCCCCTCTCTCCCCCCCCCCGTTGTCTCTTTTCCAAGCTTGAAAAGTCCCAGTCTTATTAATCTTCCGTTATAGGGCAGCCGTTCTATACCCTTGATAGTTTTTGTTGCCCTTTTCTGAACCTTTTCCAATTCCAATATATCTTTTTTGAGATGGGGCGACCACATCTGCATGCAGTATTCAAGATGTGGGCGTACCATGGGATTTATATAGAGGCAATATGATATTTTCTGTCTTATTATCTATCCCTTTCTTAATTATTCCAACATTTTATTCGCTTTTTTGACTGCTGTTGCACATTGAATGGATGTTTTCAGAGAACTATCCACAATGACTCCAAGATCTTTCTTGAGTGGTAACAACTGATTTAGACCTCATCATTTTCTATGCATAGTTGGGATTGTTTTCCAATGTGCATTACTTTGCATTTATCAACATTGAATTTCATCTGCAATTTTGTTGCTCAGTCACCCAGTTCGGAGAGATCCTTTTGTAGCTCTTTGCAGCCTGTCTGGCACTTAACTATCTTGAGGAGTTTTGTATCATCTGCAAATTTTGCCACCTCACTGTTTACCCCTTTTTCCAGATCATTTATGAATATGTTAAATAGGACTGGGCCCAGTACAGACCCCTGGGCAACACCGCTATTTACCTCTCTCCATTCTGAAAACTGACCATTTATTCCTACCCTTTGTTTCCTATCTTTTAACCAGTTACCAATCCACAAAAGATCCTTCCCTCTTATCCCATGACTGCTTACTTTGCTTAAGAGCCTTTGGTGAGAGACCTTGTCAAAGGCTTTCTGAAAATCTAAATACCCTATATCCACTGGATCCCCCTGGTCCACATGCTTGTTGACTCCCTTAAAGAATTCTAGTAGATTGGTGAGGCATGATTTCACTTTACAAAAAGCACGTTGACTATTCCCCAACAAACTATGTTCATCTATGTGTCTGACAATTTTGTTCTTTACTATAGTTTCAACCAGTTTGCTCGGTACTGAAGTCAGGCTTACCGGCCTGTAATTGCTGGGGTCTCTTCTGGAGCCCTTTTTAAAAATTGGCATCACATTAGCTATCCTCTGGGCATTTGGTACAGAAGCTGATTTAAATTATAGTTTACAGATGACAATTAGTAGTCCTGCAATTCCATATTTGAGTTCCTTCAGAACTCTTGGGTGAATACCATCTGGTCCTGGTGACTTATTACTGTTTAGTTTATCAGTTTGTTCCAAAACCTCCTCTAACGACACCTCAATCTGGGACAGTTCCTCAGATTTGTCACCTAAAAACAATATCTCAGGTTTGGGAATCTCCCTCACATCCTCAACTGCAGACAATTCATTTAGTTTCTCTGCAATGGTCTTATCCTTGAGTGCTCCTTTATCATCTTAATCATCCAGTGGCCCCACTGGTTGTTAAGCAGGCTTCCTGCTTCTGATGTACTTAAAAATGTGTTTGCTATTACTTTTTGAGTCTTTGGCCAGCTGTTCTTCAGATTTTTTTTGGCCTTTCTAATTATATTTGTTTACGCTTCATTTGCCAGAGTTTATGCTCCTTTCTGTTTTCCTCATGAGGATTTAACTTCCACTTCTTAAAGGATGTTTCTTTACCTCTCATTGCTTTTTACTTTGTTGTTTAGCCACAGTGGCACTTCTTTGGTTCTCTTGCTATGTTTTGTAATTTGAGGTATACATTTAAGTTGAGCCTCTATTATGGTGTCTTTAAAAGTTTCCGTGTAGCTTGCAGGGATTTTACTTTTGGCACTGTACCTTTTAATTTCTGTTTAACTTCCTCATTTTTGTGTAGTCCCCCTTTCTGAAATTAAATGCTACAGTGTTGGGCTGCTGTGGTGGATTCCCTGCCACATGGATGTTAAATTTAATTCTATTATGGTCACTATTACCAAGCGGTCCAGCTATATTTACCTCTTGGACCTAATCCTGTGCTCCACTTAAGATTAAATCAAGAATTGCCTCTCCTCTTGTGGGTTCCAGGACTATCTGCTCCAAGAAGCAGTCGTTTAAGGTGTCCAAGAAACTTTATGCATCCCTTCCTGAGGTGATAGGTACCCAGTCAATATGGGGATAGTTGAAAACCCCCATTATTATTGAGTTTTTTATTTTAATAGCCTCTCTAATCTCCCTGAGCATTTCACAGTCACTATCACTGTCCTGGTCAGGTGGTCTGTAATGTATCCCTACTGCTATATTCTTATTGTTCAAGCATGGAATTACTATCCATAGATTGTATGGTACAGTTTGGTTCATTTAAGATTTTTACTTCATTTAATTCTATTCTAAACTTGTCACTTTTTAGCTGCCTGCCATTACATGATGTAATGGGACTTTTTTCATTTAACTGTTTCTCATCAGATCCCTCCTGCATTTTATCATCTTCCAACCTCTCCTCCTTATTAGGACATAGGGCATCTCCATTTATAGATCCTACCCTAAGGGATGTCTGAACCATATGGTCCTCTGCACCAGTCGCTTTCCCCCAGCCCTTAGTTTAAAAACTGCTCTACAGCCTTTTTAAGTATAGCAAGGTAATCATGATTCAAACTGACAACCAGGATGTTGACCTAAGCAAACTTAAACAGGATCACACCTTCCACACTACCAATGTGATTTGGTAGTTTCCAGACATCTGTCATGGTCACTTGCTTGGCATGAAAGAAACACAGTTGTTGATCGTTGTCTGATCTGCTATTGACCTTTGGCTCAATGGTACTTAGTTCAGTATCTTTTGTGTAGGGTACACCAGAGGGATCTATTCATAACCATTCAGAATGGACATCTAGTGTTATTACCAATACCTACGTGCAGGGATGTTTCTTCCATTTACTTGAAATAGGTCACATTTGCCTTTCCTCTTAACATCGGTAGCAAAGGTCTTAGATCTAGGTCAAGAGAGACCAAGCCTCAAATGCTGTTTGCAGTGGCAAATACTGTTTTCAGCATTTGTTAAGGATGGTGATAACTGATCACATCGGGCTGAATGTCTGGCCACATTGGTCAGAGAACCAGGGAAGCTCTGCATCATATCCTGTGTTCACGCTTCTTGTCAGTCTGGCCCCCGAGAGGATAGACGCTTGGAGTAAAACTTTCAAAAGCATCCCATTTTCAAAAGTTACTGAGCCACTTAGTCTAGATCCTATTCACTTTCAGTTAGACATAAGTTCCTATGTGCCTAAATGACTTGAAAATGGGACTTAGGGTCCTGAGTCATTTGGATGCTTTTTAAAATGTTACCCTTGGTGTTTATAAATGTCAAGAGTTTTCCTGCTAATGAGTAGTCTACTTGGTGGACATAGGAATTTAAGGGGAAAAGTTTCAAGATCCTGTGCTAAAAGGCCCATATGAATACTTTTATATGCCCTGTACAAGCTGCTCAGCTTTCTTCTCTTGTCTGTTTAGGTTCTGAGCTTCTTCCCTTAATGTTTGTGAAAAGTTGAAATAGCTATTTGATTATACAGAAGATAATCAGTTTCTCTCTGTGCTTTCACAAGCTTTACAAGTGTCTTGATGTATTTGTGAGATATTCATGATCCTGGCAAAGCTGAGCATGAGTGGTTCATACGTCTTGTTTAATCCTTAAGGCAGGAGATTTTTTTTTCCCTGTGAAATTTATTGGAACAATATTTTTGTGCATAAAAATGGCTACCACCAGTTCAGGCTTTTTTGGCTGGCTTCATGGTATAGATAGTTCCTAATACAAAGAGGCTGAAATGATGGATGGTCTTTTTTTTAAGCTTCATACACTTACACAATGATAGGATATGCGATTACAGATATGAGGAAAGCCCATTTTTAATTTTGTCCACTATCTGTGAGCTCAGATTTTGCTTGCAACTTAATTTTCCTGGGGAAAATGACTTAAGTACTGAATAAGTGAGATTCAGGATCTAGTATCTGAACCAATTTATATTGTATTTTTAAATGTACCGTGGAGCTGTTGAAACACCCCAAATTCTCAAGTGATGTACGTGTTCTATCCTATTCAGTCAATCCTAGCAATGTTTTCCTCTGTTTAGTGAGGCTGTTCTTCACAAGCTTGATGTCAAAAAGCTTGCTAGACTTGCATCTGGCACAGATTAAAAAGTCAGCCAAACCTTTTGGTTTTTTTATACTAATTCACTAAATTCTGTGGGATTCACTAGAAAAAAAATCCAAGTGGCCTGATCGCATCTCATGGTTGGTTTGGCAGGGCTGCAACCTGGTCATGACAAGGCTCATTTCATACAAGTGTGAGATTCAGCCAATCCCATGAGATTTGGAAGGTGTGTGTAATTCTTTAAATTAACAACTAAAGGTGGTTACTTAGGTTTGTTCTAGAGGTGTTAAAGAACCTCTTTCTGGGGTATAGGTGCCTTTATTTTTAGACTTTTCTTTTGAAAGGTATCTTACGTTGAATCCATCTGTCATGGAGTCACCCTAGTGACTCCATAGTTAAAGTTGGAAGAAATTACCTTTATTTCCTGTTGCCCATGAGCTGTACCAGTTTTCAACTGTGAAATACGTATCCCAGTGAAAACTCTGCCTACTATCCTGTAAATTGCAAATGTACCTGCTCATTAGAGGTTCACTAGGCTGTCCACCTATATGGTATAGACCATAGACCAAAGACCTCATTTCCTTCTACACAAGATTCCACTCCCCCTGCACCCAACTATGGGATGGATAACATCAAAGACTTGAAGCTGCATATAAAGGCAGGAGACTTTTTTCTATATTCATCTTGAAGATGCAGGCCAGAAATTTCCCCTACCATACATCCTCAACAGATGGCCTGATATTGCCATATACCTGTTATAGGCTAAAAGGGCTAGTACAAAAGTTAAGCTGGACAAGGTAATATTTTATTGGACCAACTTCTCTTGGTGAGAGAGACAAGCTTTTGAATGCTTTTCTCTCTCGCAACAGAAGTTGGTCCAATAAAAGATATTATCTCACCCACTTTCTCTCTCTCTCTCTCTAATATCCAGTACCTGACATAGCTACAACAACACTGCATAGTACAGAAGAAATCACCGGTTAGAAAAGGACAGTATAGTAGTGATATAGACATGCACATGGAAAACATCACTATCTTCTAAATGGTAGCCCATAGGCTTCCCCTAATAATGGAATGAATGAGAGAGCATGTCCCTACCATCCTTTCATTTTGTCACCCTCAGACATTTGTGCTCCTGAAAGCTTCCCCACCTTACAGTGAATGTAATTTAATCTCAGAATATATTGGCATGGCCATCCTGATAGTCATCTTCCCTATAATCTTGGGAAAGCAGGGGTAAATGCTATAAGCTTTCTGTTTTGTTGTCCAGTTCTCTGTGATACTAAACTGGATCCATTAATCTTCTGTTACATATTTTAGTGGGTCCATGATAGGGTATACCATAGATGCTTTAAAAATGACATTTTCCATCATGTAACTTCATGCATATATTTGTGGTTATAATTAGCTTTGCCCTTAACTGTCAAATATGATTATAGTTACAGAATTACTAGCATGTAAACAATATGCATAGTCAAGCTGCTTATAGAAACACATCTTGCTTAGGGCCAGCTCTGTTTCAACCATAGCTTAACAAAACTGTTTTGTTTTATATTTATAGGGACCTGATATTTATGTGGAGTAAACTGCAGCTTAAATCTAACCCTTCGAAACAAGTATTTGTTGATCAGTGCTACCAGCTTTTAAGGATAGCTACAAATGTCAGAGTAATTTTCCCTTTCATGAAAGTCATTAAGGATGAAGTAAGTGTTGATATTTTTTTTTTTGCATTACCAATTTGGCTTAGTCATTGCTACCTCATTTTCTTGTATGCAGCAAAGGGGGAAAGAAGGGATAGCTAGACAATATTAATTTCAAATTAAGTCAAGACCCAAAAAACTAGCTAAAAGAACTTGTGGGTACTTCATATGACCCTGAGTTCCCTTGTCCATTGTTGTGGTTTTACAAATGCACTTTTTCCTATTATTTAAATTGTGTTTTTCTCATATTTCTATACGGTTGGGAGGAGCCCACATAAATAAAAGAGGAAATTGACACAACAGAAATGGCATCATTTACAGTAAATAAATGCACAAAGTAAACAAACTAGAAAAAGAAAAATAACTTGGTTTCTAATTTACTGCTGTTCTCGTAATCTTAAGTGTTGTAATGATAGTAACATGCTTTCATGCAGAAATCTGATAAACTGTGTGCCTTTTGGAGTTCCTTCAGCAACAGCCACTCTACAATAAGCTATAATGGGATACTACAACACCGTACGTGTCAGTAGATCAATACAAGTAACTTGTCTGTAGCACATGGAGAGGAGTTAAACATCCAGTGATCTAAATGATCAAAGCATCTGTAGACTTACAAAAAAAAATGGGAATGAAAAAATTATAGACTTATATTTCTCATCTAGAAGATGGGTTTGGCTGATTTCTTTAGTATTTTTGTATAAGATCATTTTGCAGTATTTTTGTTGGGTTTTCTTCATTTCAGCTGAGATTCAGTTGTCATTTTGACTAAATAGTATCTTCCATATAATTGCTTTCCAGTTGGATTAAATGTACCACCATTTATTGTTAATGGCTTTCACTGGGCCTCTCATACCTGTCCTGTGTCCGTTGGCATCCTAATTCCAGAAGAGCACATCTGCTAAAGCTTTTTGAAATACTTCCCCAAGCAAATTGTATATATTTACCATTCAGGAGGCGAATAGAGATTTTGAATTGTCTCACGGCAGGTATTATCAGTTAAATCAGTAGTTGTTAAACTATCATCCATCAACTACAAGTGGCCCCTACAGCACTAGCTGGTGGTCTGCAAACACCTGACTGGTTACATGGTGCTGTTTTCATAGCTTATATGAAAAGGAGCTACTACAGTCTCAAATGAGAGAAAGTATGATCTGTGAGACAGCCTCTACTAAGATAAGGCCCACCCTATGTACATTTGAGACTCCTTGAATTAAGAAACTGACATGATTAATTGTAGCCTTGTTATTGGCAATATATCTGCTGAAGAATTGGACTGTTTAATGTAATGTGGTATTACTTACCTTAGGCCAAACAAGGTTCTAAGCAGAAGACATGGTAAACTTAGTTGGTTCTCTGCCTTTTATCTGTAGCCAAGGTATAGATCTATTTTAACATGAACCTTGAGTTTGTATGATAGTGGCAGTGTCCTGAGGGATTATTAATTCTTTGGCAAGGATCAAGCCTGGATCCTGGAAAAAAGAAAGTACTACAAACTCCACGCAAAAGAGCTAATATAGTAGACCAATATGCTAAAACACATTGTACTTCAGACATTCATTTGATGACATTTGGTACCAGGTTCAGCTTGTTCTTGTCCTATATGCTTTCCCATGTCTCTCAGAAGTTTGTAATAAAGTGCAACATTGCACATCCTAATGTGCCAAATAGCTCAAATTCCATATCAAATATCTGACTAACTTTACAGCTGACAGCAGATTTTATAGTAGTAGGAACGTATTAGGTCTTCCTGGCATTCTGAGACTTAGGTGCATGAAGAGTGTAATCATTTTTTTTCACTTGAACCAAAGGAAACATATGTTGTTAACGTTACAGTATAGTTATACACAAGTGAAATAATTCTGTTAATGTTCACCATGTCTTGACTCTAAGTAAATAGTCCAAAAAATATTCCTGGTGGTTATGTTAATCTGGTACTGCTCTGTTAGTAAGATTTAACTAAACACTCAAGTGCTATTTAGATTTTTAAATGCCCCAACAAATATGTGAATATGTATGTACTCGTTAATACATAGATATTGAAGATGTATGCAACATATAGCTATAATAAAAACGTATTCCCAAATTTTTCCTTTATCAAAATATTTTATCTCCGATAGGAGGCATTTTCAGAAACACATCTTAATTATAAATTTCAGTTAAGGACCTAGCTTAAATTTCAAGTGATTAGTATTTTTCAGGGTGATAGCTCACCATTTCTGAAATGTCAGGCCATTATGATGTGTCAGTTTGGGCACCCAAAATCACTTGTCACCTTTGAAAAGTTACGTCCATGTTTGTAGTTTTCATTTTTTATGCAGTATAAGTTAAATGAGTTAAAATGGGGACAGATTTAGAGAGCCCAAGCTTCAGCAAACCTTGACCAAAACACTTCATTATATTCTTCTTTCCCTAGAGTCTGTGAAAGCATATTTAGAATACAGGCGAGTCTCATCTTATGCGGGGGTTCCGTTCCGCGGTTAGCGCGTAAAGCGAAAACCGCGTATAGTCAAAATTACATTGAGTTGAATGGCGGGCGGAATCGCCCGCACTACAGGTACAGTATTAAAATTGTTGTTTTTCTCTTTTTTGTTTTGTTTTTTGTTTTGTTTTTGCCGACCGCGTAAAGCTGAAATCGCACATGTTAAATGCGCGTAAGATGCGACAGACCTGTATGCTCAGTTATATTATGAAATATAGACCAATTAATCAGGATACGGATTGCAGAATAGTGATTTGCACAATGGTCCTTTGCGTGCAGTTCTCTAAACTGAAACTAAAACATGCCCAAACGGTTATCCTGTTGTCTCTTTAACACAGAAAGTGTGCAGTGCAAAAGTATCGGAAGCTTTGTTGACAGCACTAGATATGCAGCCTGCAGTGCAAGCCAAATGTTATGCTCGGCATAGCTGTAGTTTATTTTATTGCTTTATTTATATATCATTTAATAAAATCTGCTTTTGGAGGACTTTGCAAATTTAAACATTTACGTTAACAACTGAGATGCCTTCTGAATTCTACTTACCTTTGAAATATTTTAATACAAAGTTGTTATATGTTGAAATTCAAGTATTTTAGAACTGAATTTTTGTTTGTTGCTCTTGCTTTATTTTGCATTCAAACGTGCCTCTGTCGCAAGCCAAAAATAAAAGCAGGGGATGATGTATAATTAATCTTAATTTCTTTTCTGCAGGTTGGAGAAGATGGCTTGCAGATTTGTGTTGAAATATGTGGCTGTGCTCTGCAGTTGGACCTTCGTGATGATCCAATTATGAAATGTCTCATATATAAAACGATTGCTCATTTTTTGCCAAATGACTTGGAGATACTGAGAATTTGTGCGCTTTCTATCTTTTTTCTTGAGCGCACCTTAGAATCATATTACACTGTTGAACATCTATATAAATGTGCAGATGAAGAGTATAATGAGCACACTAGTTCTGTTCAGAACCGTGTACGTTTTGAGTTGCTTCCAATTTTGAAGAAAGGTTTGTTTTTTGATCCTGAGTTTTGGAATTTTTTGATGATCAAGCAGAATTGTTTATCACTGTTGAGGGATAAAGCATCTGTTGGCTTAGGTGAAAGTACACTGGAAAATTCTGTTGCTAATACAGAGAAGCCGATGGAACGTCAGGCTTTGAGTGAAGAAGTTATCTCTTTAACAGATCTAAGTAATGGGGAGCTTGACTCTGAAGACCCCTCTGAAGACCAATCTAAAGGTCACGCCAGAAAGAACCATGTAGCTCTTGCAGCATCTAAAATAGATCATAATGTACCAAGACACCGTTGTGCATTATGCAACAGGGAATTTCTTGGCGGTCACATTGTGAGGCATGCACAGGCTCACCAGAAAAAGGGCAGTTTTTCATGTGTAATATGCTGTAGGAAATTCAGGCAAAGAGGAATCATGCTGAAGCACTTAAGGAATCATGTCAAGAAAATACAAAGACAGCATCTTGCTGCTACCCAACATGATGATCAGGAAACCCCTGCTTTAAATGAAGTAAATTGCTCTGATGCATCCGTCTCTTTAGAAAATGGGAATTCTAACAGTTCTAAAGATAATGAATCAGAGGCTGCAATAGTTCCAAGTATTGATATGGAAGTACAAAACCATGACCAGGACTTGGATGTGGCTGAAAATCATGTAAGCCAACAGGATAATGTTATTGAAAATGGCAGTTGTGACAGCTGTTTAAATAATACTCCTGAACCTTTAACTACAGAGAGTTTGCCTGAGGGTGGCGGTAGCCCGAGTCAAGAGTCTCCTATACTTCATAAAGTAAATGGAGCTTTGTGCTCTCAAAAGGATCTGGATGTTATGGATCAAGAAGGTAACTTCAAGTGCCCTGCCAACAGTTGCATTAGAGTGTTTAAAAAGATAAGATTTCTCAATAAACATGCAAGAAAAGCTCACCCAACTGATCTGAAGGTGCAGCAGCATATAATGAAGTGGAATAAAGGAAAATGTCGGTTCTGTCAAAGAAAGTTTGCAGATTCTCAGCATTTCATAGATCACCTGAAGCGACACGTATATCCAAATGTTTACTTTTGTTTACATTTTAACTGTAATCAGAGATTTAAGCTGTCCACTGAGCTTGCAGAGCATATGAAAAGTCACAGTATGTTTAAGGCTCAGTGCAATTTTGCAGAGTGCTGCGAGCTTTTTGAAGAGCTTCCTTTGCTGTATGAACATGAGGCTCAGCATTATTTAAACAAAACAGAGTGTTCTGAAATAAATGAAGAAAATTCATCAGATACTCTATCAGAGTCACTTTGTGGTTTTCAAGAAAAAGATGCATCTAGTAGTGAAAAAGAAGCTGTAGATTTACCAGTTCCAACTTGGAAGGCAAGGAAAGACTCGACAGAACCAAAGACATATATCCAGAGTATTGAGAAGAAAGCATACAATGTAATTCAGAATGGGAGTGAAAATTCATCTGATGTTACAGCTACAGTTTTAAGCTTGATAGACCAAAAGATGCCTATAGTACAGCCAAAAACTGAAAACTGTAATGTTCATGACCAACTGGTCAATGGGCACATTGAACTGGAGCAGACTTGTTCAGCTTCATCAGATGCAGCTTTGGACAGAGTGGCAGATGAAACAAGGACAGAAAATGGGTCAATACCAGTTTTACAGAACTGCAATGATATACCACAAAACAATACTGCTGCAGTCTCTCAGTCACCTTCCAAACCAAATCAGACAACTGAAAACACTTCATATGGCTTAATTGTGACAAAACCATATGTTAGACCGTTGCCTCCAAGTTACCTTGATGAACGATACATTAGCATGCCAAAACGTAGAAAAACTGTAACTGATAAAATAGATGCCCATTCTGAGCAAGATAAAGCTTGTAGCAAATCAGCAGAAAGATTTAGATGTGGGAACTGTCTGACCACCTACTGTAACTCAGAAGCACTTGAGGCTCACCTTGCACAAAAGAAATGTCAGACGCTCTTTGGATTTGATTCAGATGATGAAAGTAAGTCTTACAATGCTTCTATATGCAGACGTTTAGAGATAGAAACTGAGAGAAATGGTCCTTGGAAACAGGCTTCAGGGCAGAACAGATTTAAAAAAAGACAAATAGAGCACATAACCAATTCCAGTGTATTCGAACCTGTACTAGCTGTACTAGAATTGAGTGATAATGACCTGAATAAAAAACAAGTATTTTAATAAACCGGAAGATAAACTCAATCTAAGTGTTTAGGAAAAGAAATGAGAGTTGAAAATCAGCAGACAGCTTTGATGAGAGCGCATTCAGATAAGACAGACTTCGGTAGTTTAATCTATGCATTTTCTACTTGCATGTTCACAACTAGGCATGTTGACAAACTCAAGCAAAATTCCAATTTAAAGCACTATTTGCATGGGAACAAAATGAAACCTAACAAACTTAATCTGTTTTACAGGTGCCTGATTAAATGTTGTGGGAAGATGTATCACTTGAGGAATGGTGTGAGAGAACACTACGTGAAGAAGCATCAGTTTGCTGTTTCCCAGATGGCCTTAATCATAAAGCAGACTCAAATTACTAAAGAAAAATGTGACCTTGATAAAAGACAAAGCACATTTTCTAGATAAAACTCACAGAGGAATAGTAGGAGCTGTGCAGGTTTTGAGTCCAGAAAGGTTGCTACAAACTCCCCAAAGTACCAGTTACCCAGAAAGCCCCATGAAGTGTATGATCAAAGAACAGCAGCAGAGTGTCTGGCATGAGCGCTTAAGAAAAAATAAAACACTCAGCTGAGCAGGCAGAGAAGAGAAATGGCTGTTGCCTTAGAGAGAGAAACACCACTGTAACCTGTGCCACTGGATTAAAAAGTTGTAATAAGAGAAACCCTTCCTATCCATGCAAGTTGAAAGGGTGTCGCTCCACATTATTAAAAAGATTTAATTTAAAGAGACATTACATTTATTTTCATGGTATGTATAAAAATCTGATAGAGGAAACGGACATTCTTTTTTCAGCGTTTGTGTCTTCAGCGAAAAATCACGGAGGTCATTTAATAAACTTGTGTTCAGAATCCAAAATGAAGAATGTAGAGAAAAGTCTAAGATGGACAGTGTGTACCAATGGCCAAAAAGTTAAAGTATAGCATATACAATGAAAATTGTATCAACAGTCTGATATTAGATGTGTCAGCTGTACAAGACACAATTCAGATGCACTTAAAATATATGGCAAAACTACACATACTGACTTTTTGGAAATGTTAAATAAGTCCATTTCAGGCACAGAGATTTAACACAAGTAATATGTGTACAGCAGCTGCTGGTACTAACACGTACAGATTGAGGCTAAAAAATAAATTTATGCGCGGCATGAATAAAGATGAATTTGAGCTGGCATATAGTGCTAAAATAATATCCAAATATAAAGATCCTTCAATTCTTAGTATGACTGATGGACAGAATTTAATAGAGACGCTTTTCTATGAAAAATTTGAGTTAAATGAAGATAAAGCAAAGAATGTCAGTTGTTAGCAAAAATAGATCAGGAAGAAACTTCTATACCCACTCAGCATCCTGCAGTGATACAGCATTCAGTTTTGATTTACCCAGTAATGCTCTGTCATGTAAAGGAGGAATTCTGGGAAAATGTTAACAGGTCAACCTTAAAACACAGTACAGCCAGCAGTAGCAGTCTCTCTGGAAAAAAAAAGTGGTGGTCCTTATCAGAAACAAATGAAAGAGCTCAGCAATGTAAATCAAAGTGTTTAAGTACTTTGGCCAGCAAAAGATTGCGGGTAAAGTGACATCCAGAATTAGTCTGTAAGGATGGAAAGTTTCAATATGTCACCTGTATGTAACAGACCTAAAGACACATAAAACAAAAAGGCATTCCTGAGTTTTACTAATGAGGGTATTCTGCTTCAAAAAATAAAAAATTCTGTGCCAAAAAATTAATTCTGCACACAATATATTAAAATTCTGCAAATTTTATTTGTGAAATAAATGTGGAGGCTCCTGCGTGGCATTGGAGAGCACAGGCACTGGCTGCACGGAGGTGGTAGATCACTGAGCAGCTCGCCCCATGCTACGGACTCGGTGGTGAGGCTGCACCCACCCCTAACACAGCGCAAGGACAGGACCTGCCCTAGAAACAGCCCAGAGTCCTGCCCGTCCATGCCAGGTGCACCAGATATGGGCAGGCAGACTCAGCAAGGCAGGATCCAAGTGTGGAGGGGCTTAGTGTGGGGGGATCCAGGTTTGGGTTGAGAGATTTCTGTGTGGGGCGATTTGAGTGCGGGCAGCTCAGTGGGGGGATCTGCATGCATAGGAGCTTCTTGGGGGGGTTCTGGGTGCAACGGTAATGGGACTCTGCAGGCGGATCCAGGTAAAGGTGGTTGGGGCTCAGTGGAGGGGGTCTCAGTGTTGGGGGGGAATAGAGCTCAGCAGGGGGGTTTTGGTGGGGGATGCTTAGCGGGGGGATCCAGATGCTGGAGGAGTGGAGCTCCGTGGGGTAGGGATCCAGGTACAGCTGGTTGGGGCCCGGTAGGGTGGGAATTCAGGTGTTGGTGGTTTGTCGAGGTTGTCCAGGTGCAGAGGGAGTGGGTTCTGGGTGGGTTGGAGGTGAGGCTCGGCGGGAGGGTCTGGGCATGAGGGGGTCTGGATGCAAAGGAGTTGTGCGGATTGGGGAGCAGCAGCTCCCTGTACAGTTAACCCTCCCCCCTGCAGCTGAGGAGTGATGGGCACAGGAAGCGTGGAGGAGAGAGTTTTCAGAGCGTCCTACAGCCAGGGGAGAAATTGGGGTGGGTCTGATACAGCCCCAGATGCCATGCAGGGGAAGAGGAAGTCCCGTCCTCCCCAGCCCAGCTGGGACTAGCAGCTGAACCCGGCACAGGGTAGGTGCCACCAGCTGGGTTTTCCCCAGTCCCGGCTCCTGCCCCCCCAGTGACTGACTTCTCTGCTAGCTGCCCTGGGTACCCAAAACATATTGTTAGGCAGGGTCTCCTGGTTGCTCTTGTTGCTTCCCTGTCAAGTCATTTTTTCTGCAGGAAGCAAATAAATCTGCAGGGGAGATAAATTCTGCTCATGCAGAGAGGCACAGAATTCCCCCAGGAGTAGAGTTTGCAAAGGAGAATGTTGCAAGTGCTCAGATTTTCAACTGCAATGAAAAATTACCCACTAACAATGCTACCTTGTTTTGTAGATCATACAAACTGTATGTTTATTTCGGACCCTGCTTGGTGCTGTTAGCTAGAAAGTTGGGTACATTCAGAGAGCCAGAAGCTATCCTTGATTAAAAATAGTGGGCATGAGTCAAATTTTCACAGTAATCCAGGACAACACAGAAGGGCTTTCCCAGCTCAATTAGTTTGCTCGTTGAATGATTCATCACAATGTGTGTACAGTATAGTAAGACAGTCGGCTTACTTACTCAACAGATTATGTAAGAATTGGTACCAGGTAAAAATATGGATACAGGATCTGTTCATTGTAGCAACAACTCACATTTGGAAACGCAGAAAGGTTTCATTGTAAAGTAGGCTGTTAAATATTTCTGGCACTTAAAACACTATAGTTGAAAAATGACTCTGCTAGTAATCCTCTGTAAAATCAAATAGATATTCATATAACTTCTCCCTCCTTTTCCCCTCACTTAGGGAAAAAAGAATGCTAACTCAGATTCTTACTACTTGAATCCTAGAAAATGGTCCTCTAACTTGGATTTGGCCAAAAGTAAAAGGGTATAAAATTATGATCACAGGTATGTGTGCATTACATTAATACCAATGTCTGGGGCGCTTCTAGAAAGATCTGCATGACATTTGAGGCACCAAAGAACACATTTTTTGTTTTATATTTACAAGATAAAGTGCATCATGTGTATAAAATTTATTAGCTTTTTAAATAAATGAAATTAAGGGAACAAGTCAGTCAAATGCATTTCCATACTTCCACTTATCTACTGTAAAGTTTTTACCCAACTAACTTTTAAGAACCTGGTTATCTTCTTTAGAATATTCCCAGGCTCCCCTTTGTATTTTAGCTTCAGTTTTAGGCTAGTTAAATTGCTTAAATTCATCTGGAAAAAATAAAGGTTATTTTAGAGCATTAAGTTATAAAAACTTGAAAACTTGGTCAGTAGATATCAAAAAAATTATGTATTAAATCTTTAAGTGTACTTAATCTTTGATGCTTTTTTGCTGGTACTAAAGCGCCACGTGTTGCTTCAAAGACATGATTGGGATTTGTATTGGTTTAAAGTGTGTAGCTTATGTGCATCTATGTACATGCATAAAACTGTGACCATAATTTTTCTACCTGTTCAACTCATTTTTTGTTTGAAGATGCTTGTGTTGCACACAACCATCTGTTTATATCACATGTTCAGTATATATAATTTTGAAAAATCTAGTTTTTTATTTCACTTAGGTGAACACTTAAAGGAGTAAGTGGCAGGTAACATTTTGGAGTACAGATTTTAGTTCAAAAGACATGTAGTTGTCCCTTCTGTAAAATGTTACCTGTTGGCATACTCAGTTGAAGTATTAAGTAACTATAATTTGAAAATAATGTGTGGGCTTATTATACATGCTTTATAGGATTCAAAGATATTTAAGACACCATCCTTAATTGAGTTGGCAATTTTTAGAGTTTAAAAAAGTTCCAAATCTAGGATTTGTTTTTTATCCAAGACTAAGTGTCATATTGTGTAATTTAAAATACACTTACTCCAACATTGATGTATGGTTTTGATCCAGCAAAGAATGTGTGTAACTTTAAGCATGCAAATAGTCCCATTGAAGTTAATGGCAGTATTGATGTGCTTAGTTATTCATGCACCGAAGTGCTTTGCTGGATCAAGGTCTGTGTGCTTTTTGTGCAGATTATCATATTTTAATCATCTTCCTCCAAGTGGACTTAACTCGGTTTGACTTGGCTGTTAGTTTTCTAGAGCTCATCTGTTACTACTTGAACCCACTCCATTATAAAGGTCACGTAAATTCTAATTTTCAAAAGTTGCTGCTTGATAGGCACCCTCCACAAATAATTGTGCTAAATAGGTTGAAAATGGTCATATCTGTGGGGAAAGGTTACTGGTACTTGGGTTATTTAGCCATATTCATTTAAAAAAAAAACTATAAATTGTATAGTTTGGATAATTTATAACATTAAATTTGTGATTTTAATATCACAGTGAAGGTTCAGCTGTACTCATTTACTTTTATTGTTTAACATCAGTGGTATGGATGAAAGACTTAAAGGGGTAGTAGTGTTATTTTTTTTAATTTATTTGGTACTGTATAACACCTTTCTGACTAAATGCAGTGTATGCATTTTGGGACTCTGTTAATTTGTAAAAGCTATTAAAGGTTCAGCAAGAAAGGAAATTAGTGCTTCCTTGTTGAATGTTAAATTATTTTACTTTTCATTTATATAAGAGTACAAATTAAAACTGAGCCGTCAAACTGCAATAAATCAACAGTAGTGTTTCATTTTAAAAACCTTTTTGTACTGTACATAGATTTGTTCAATAAAACATTGTCTTTGTTGTTAATATAAAGTGAACTTGTGATTTCTTCGGGAATGTGCCTGATAAAATTATTTGACCACAGTATCTACCATTACTTGGCACGCAGTATACTATATAGTATAGCATCCATACAAAACTAAATCCGCACTCCTCAATCTGTCTATGGCAGTGGTTCTAACTGTGGGTGGGGACCCCAAAGTGGGTTGTGACCCCCTTTGAATGGCGTCGTCAGGGCTGGTTTAGACTTGCTGGGGCCCAGGGCTGAAGCCCGAACCACACTGCCCAGGGCTGAAGCCAAAGCCCGAGGGCCTCAGCCCTGGGTGGGAGGGCTCAGGTTGCAGGCCCTCTGCCTGGGGCTGAAGCCCTTGAGCTTCAGCTTTGCTTCCCCGCCCAGAGTGGTGAAGCTCAGGCTTTGGTCCCCCTCCTGGGATCATGAAGTAATTTTTGTTAGAAGGGGGTCGCGGTGCAATGAGGTTTGAGAACCCCCTGGTCTATGGGATGGTGCTTATATCAGCATAGCTTTGTGTCTCAGGGGTGTGAAAAATCTACACCCCTGAGAGGTAATTATGCTAACCTAACCCCCAGTGTAGACTTGCTAAATCAATGGAAGAATTCTTCTGTTGACCTCACTACAACCTCTTGGGGAGGCAGATTAACTCCAGCAATGTCAGAACCCTTCCCCACCCGGTAGTGAGTGTCTACATTGAAGCACTTGTATATGCAAACACAAGACGTGGATTAGAATATATTGTGCAAGTACAAACAAAACTTGTGGCATATAGAAGTGAAAAGTGGTGATAAGGAGAATGTGTTGGGGCTTTTAGTTTGGTTTTTACAAATCGTATACCTCTCAGATTACCTGTGTAGTAATATCCTGCCTGAGTGCATAGAATTGAATCAAAAGGGTTAAAGGAACCTAATAGGAAAGACAAAATAATGACACATGGATAAGAATCCTTGAGGAAAAACATGGGGAAAGGGTTTATTGGAGAGTGCCAATTATTTGGCTCCATCCAGAATAGAATGGTTTACTTCTCCCATGGCTAAGCCTAGGATCAAAGGATCCAAAACCTTGAAGATTCCTTTGGGAAGTGTATGTGTGGTGGGTGGGGCAGGGCTTGGCTGCTCAGTGAGTCACTGAGAGCTAACAAGCATGCAGAGCATCACACACGCGCATTCGTCTTCCAGTTAGATATGGACGTAGCTGGTCTAGATGAAACATATCAAAGTTTACAATGAAAGATTAAGGATTAGGTAAAGAGACTCATGCATGTAGACATTTGCTTTAACCTTTTGCTCTGCATGCTATGTTGTTTAGGTGAAGAAATAATGCTTGGTTTTAAAGAAGCTGTTTTTTGTCATTTTAATCAACCACAGTCACAGGATTCTGAAGAAAAAAGCTTACAGGTGTCATACTCATTTGGGCCAGTTAGATTAACATAGTTGTGAAATGGGGCATGTGGCCAGGATATCCTGTGGTAGGGTTGCATAGTTGCATCTAGAGAGAGGTGCAGGAAGCCAAGTTTGTCACCAATGGTGTGCACTTGAGGAACAAAATCGGACTAAGGTGCAGCTTGCCTGTTAACTATGAATACTAAATGAGGGAGAGTGGGTCAGTATAGGGAAACCAGTAGGATAAATGAATAAGATTTGACTTGTAGGTAGGGAAAGAATTAGACAACAGAGAGAATGAATTATGAGATATGAATAGTCTTGAAACTAAATCGGTTGTAATGAAAGGCTGTTTCAGCAGGTAAGGCTATTATCATAGACTTTAAGGTCAGAAGGGACCACTATGATCGTCTAGTCTGACCTGCCCAACGCAGGCCACAGAAGCTCACCCAACCACTCCTGTATAAAATCTGTGTCTGAGCCATTGAAGTCCTCAAATCATGGTTTAAAGACTTTTAAGATGCAGAGAATCTTCCAGCAAGTGACGCATGTGCAGAGGAAGGCGAAAACCCCCTTTTTCAGTACATCAGAAGCAGGAAGCCTGCTAAACAATCAGTGGGGCCACTGGACGATCGAGGTGCTAAAGGAGCACTCAAGGACGATAAGGCCATTGTGGAGAAACTAAATGAATTCTTTGCATCGGTCTTCACGGCTGAGGATGTGAGGGAGATTCCCAATCCTGAGCCATTCTTTTTAGGTGACAAATCTGAGGAACTGTCCCAGATTGAGGTGTCAATAGAGGAGGTTTTGGAACAAATTGATAAATTAAACAGTAATAAGTCACCAGGCCCAGATGGGATTCACCCAAGAGTTCTGAAGGAACTCAATTGTGAATTTTCAGAACTACTAACTGTGGTCTGTAACCTAGCATTTAAATCAGCTTCTGTACCAGATGACTGGAGGATAGCTAATGGACGCCAATTTTTAAAAAGGGCTTCAGAGGTGATCTCGGCAATTAGAGGCCAGGAAGCCTGAGTTCAGTACTTGGCAAACTGGTTGAAACTCTAGTAAAGAACAGAATTGTCAGACACACAGATGAACATAATTTGTTGGGGAAGAGTCAACATGATTTTGGAGTCTTTCCAGTTACTTCAATGAGCTTTGAATCAGGCCCTCCATGGCTCTTGCAGAGTAATTTACTACTTAATGTAGTAAATTCATGTGACAGATGTAGTAGAGGATAGGAGATGATGAAAGCCCTGATATGAGCAGAAAATGATACACAAGGAAAATACATATGAAAC